ACAAGGACTCCAGTCTTGCTTTTTCTCAGCATAGCTCAATCTGCTCTTGTAAAGGGTGTTCAGAGTTATTCCAGCTTATCCTATTTCCCTTGTTAGTACCCTGAAAATTTTTTAGAACATAAGTCATTTGGAAATGCCTCTTTACTTCCCATTCCTTTTCAAGTACAAATTCCATCTGTTGCTTCCTTGCAGGGCAGAGCAGGCACTGAAGGGCCAGTGAACTGGAGCAAAAATGAGGACCTCTGTTCCTCAGAGACAGAGAAAGTGCCAAAGAAGTCTGCTTGCAGTAAGGCAAGTACCAAGAACTTTGGTAACTAGAGATATAGCTGGGGTAAAGCATACTTGCCATTACTTTGTGACTGCGTCCCCAGGATAGGGCATAGGGACTTGCATGCTGGACCAGACAGTGCTGACCAAAGGGTGGAGAGGACAACTGGAAGCTGTTTAATCTTTCTCTACTTCCTTCTGCCTTCCAGGTAAATAAACTCTCTCATCTCTAAACAGTTATCATTAAACTGCATCACAGGCCTAGTTCTGCAGGTGAAAATACAGGGGGGTTGTTTGGAAGCTCGTTTAGTAACTGTCTCTCTGCTAGTCTCACTTGTTCAGTGGCAGGTACCAAAAAAGTGCATGGTTCCCATGCAGTGCTTCTTGTTCCAGGGCACAGTGATAAAATTTCAGGTTGAAAGAGAGAAGTTGTAATGTGTTACTAACCAGGAGACCTTGAGGAAACTTCTTGCCACAGTGCCAGCTGCATTGTGCAATCCTGGCTCTGTGATTTCTGCTCTGGCCCGATTGACATCTCCTCAGTTTAATGTTTCTCACATTCTTGTAGGCTGGGGATCTACCTTTGATCCAGTCTTCTGGAAATCTGTGCTCTGGTTATGAATATGCGTTAGATGTTTGGGAACCATATCAACTAAGGCCCTCTTTTTCTTAGTTTGAGATTAGGTGATTTATGTTTTAAATCCTTGGAAAAAATACCTCCCTGGCAAATAACTGCCATTGTTTTAGATACTGTGAAATGTGATGTGGCTTATTTCAGAAACTTGGTGAACTCATGGCTGCTTTCTGCTTTTCTCTTCCATATGTTGTAAAGTTGAAATCAATACTGGTTCTCTGTACAAGATGCAGCTCAATTCCCTAAAACGTGACCTTCCTATTTACAGAAACTTTTGTTCACACTACGTGTACTTGGAAGGATTAAGTGGTGAAGTTCAAATACACATTGCTACTCTCCAACCCCATGAAAACAACTAAGTCTGCTTTCCCTGAAGTCTGATGGCTTTGATGCAAACTGAATTGGGCCTTAGGTGAAGGAAATGCCTCAAGAGTAGTACCTGTAAAGAGGTACCCTCCTGCCATTAATAGCCTGTTAAGAAAGGAAGCCTCTAAAACACACAAATATTGCTGCTTGCTTTAAAACAGAGGTTCAATTAAAGAAATGGGACACTTTAAATTGTAGAACAGCAAAGATATAGATGAGATCTGAAGAATTAACTGCTGCTATTGGGTACTTATATTATTACCCAGGCACAGAGAGAGAGTCTTTAGATTTGTATGACTTGTCATTGCCAGCGTTCTCTCAAAAAATGAGCATGGCAACAGGTAGCCTTGCTTTCGTATGATTAAACAAAAATAACCAAAATCTCGTCATGATAAAGGCATAGGATTTAATGATGAAACTTAAATGTGAAATTGGAAACACAGCTTGTAACGTAAAATGCTTTCTATGTGGAAAAACCTGGGTTTATCCAAGGACAGACTGACCACAAGATTACTGAATGCCAGTGGCAATTACAGCTTTATTGGATAATGCACTGGGCAGATCCTCATCTTCTGTAAACTGTCCTAGCCCTGAGAAGTTCAGAAGAGACAAATTTACAGGTGCAGATCTGACCCACTGTTTCTCTTAGTGAATGTGTCTTTTTTTTTTTTTGTAATTAGCCATTAGCTTTGTATCTTTATCTAGTCGTACATCAACCCCGCTGTTTCTATCTGTCTGTTAAGAATTGGATGAGTTTGGACACTAAATTAGAACTGAACCCTGGTCAAAAATCAAGCCTTTTAATTTTTAACTTCTGTGCTTAGCATGCATCTTTAATGTGTAAGCAACGTGGTTGTTCGTTCTAAATTACACCTTTAACAGCTTTTCTGATTGCTTGCTTACAGCAAAAACCAGGCAAGCAAACACATCCCAAACTGTATTTTGAATTAAAAGCAGAGTTCAGTGAACAACTGCGTTGCCTATGTTTTCTCCCTCTAACCTTCTAACAGATGTAGTCTGCATCTTCTTAAACCTGAAATAATCAACTAAAAATCCCTACATCTAGTTCAGTCAGAAAACCATCAGCTGACATTTTAGTCAACAGGAACCTGAGAGGGAGAGTTGTGTTACACCGGCACGGACGATTTTGGATGTAGTTACAGGAAAGCATTGAGGTGTTTTGAATCTGATCTTGCAGCTCTAGTCTCTCTGAAGTCCCATTTGGTTGGATGATGAGGTGCCACAGTCAAGTGAGAGGAGAAAATTTTAGATGAAGTAAACGGAGAACAGCATTATCCTATGCTGGCTCCTTAGTGACTATCATTCTTCAGCAGTGAAGCATCTGGACTGATCAGTTCATTTGTATCTGAATGCAAATTTTGCCTTCTGAGTGCAAAGAATATTGAGTGGGGAGGGCCTGACCTACTGTCTCAGCACAGAGCTTCCCCTCACTATCAACAGCGTCTCCACCATTCCTGTTTGAGAATTCCTCTTGCCCACCACCCTGTGGGAAGTACAGCTGTGTAGAAATGGTAATGGTGAATGGGGCAGGAGCACACCTTCTGGCTGCCAGCTGTGGGAGTGAAACATAGGTAGGTGCCTCCCAAAGCTTGTATCCAGGTCACCTCAAACATGCAGTGACAGAAGAATGCACACAGCTCCCAATCTGGAGTTGCAGCTCCCAAGTTCTGTTTGCCCTGTCTGCGTGTTGCTGCGGTGTGAACTGCTTTAAACAATTCCCGTTCTAATTAAATACGGTCAATCTGTGTGTTGGCTTTTCAGGCACCCATCTGTACAGAGCGGATCTGCTTGCTTCCCTCTGAGGATCCCTTCCTTCCCTCCCCATCGGCGTTGTTGGGGGATTAGAGCAGCGGCAGCCCCATACACAAACGCAGCTGGTTCCGTTTGGTCAGGCTGAGCCTTGCTGTGAAACCATGACAAGAATTCCAGTAAGTTGGCAACACTGAAACACAAAGAAAACAACAATAGGAAAAGTCCTTCCGTGCAGAAAGGAATGTTTCAAGCACTGTTCTCCTACAGTGAAAGGAGAGAGGGTGGGAGGGAGGAGAGAGATTTGAAGAGGGCAGGTCCCCCCCCCTCCCCCGGCAGCTCTGGATCTTGTGATGGAGAGATCTTATCCTCTCTTTGTGATTCAGAGGTGCCAGGAAGCTAATTGAATATTCTGATCTGCCCCCAGTGTTTCTTGTGGCTTGACCCCGGTGCTGTGTCGTACCACTACACCAAACAGCCCTGAACCTGCATAAATCACAACCTTGCAATAGCCTATGCTCCACATCATCTCCCCCTTCTCCCCCTTCTTCCCCTTCTCCCCCCCCTCCTTTTCTATCTTGATAGATAGAAAACCTTTACGGAGAGGTTTAGAAGGATTAGCGTCCTACAGGACCTGGAGAAAAATCACAACCTACTAATAAGCAACAACATGTTCCTCCGCAACTTTTGCAAGAGTAATGCAGGCACCTCTACCCCTCACTGAAATTGCAGTCCATGGCAAAAGAAGAAGAGTTAATGCTTTGAAATATTGCTTAAGTTCTGTTGCAGCATCAGCAAACACCCACTGCAGTATAATGAACATGGCATGAAGCTAACGTGAACAATATATGGAATTTATAAAGGTGGTGTCATTAAAATTAATCTGACAAAACCTCTTGCAAGACAAATAGACCCATCTTTCTCCTATGGTATGTATGCACAGTAGTCATTGTTCACATGCATGCGTGTGCACACATACAGAGAAAGGAACAGCTTGGCATAACTAAATTTTCTACATGAAAGACTATTTCTGACTAGTATAAAACAAAATAATGATTTAACTTCACACAGCTTATGTATGATGCTTCTGATCCTGCAAGCAAAGCCTCCAAAGTGTTTGCCCTTTTCCCAAGGCTGCATTCCAGCCTGAAGTATTAGGGTATCTTTATCTTTCTGCTGTGATACTATGCTCTGTCCTACCCTTGCTAGTAGGTATATGATTCCTGAAATGCAGCAGTAAAACACAGGCAGACATTTCACGTGTGCTGCACACACTATTGGAGAGTTAGAACCAGAGTAAGGTGTCTCCAGCTGATATCTTAAGCATTCACAGCCAAAGCACTTTACCAAACTGATTTTATCTGCTAAGAAAGTGCAGAAGTAAGTTTCATCCCTACAGTTTTCCTTTCACGATATTTATGTGAGGAATAATAATAATAGTAAGTTCTAAGCTTTATCCCCTGCATTGGTAAGTAGGTGTTTGACGTTTTTTCAAAGTTGTCAAAAATGCTTTTCTTGTTTGGAGCATGCCTTTGGGACACTAAAACCTGGGACATATTTCACTTGCAATCTGAAATTCCCCTGATCTACTCAAAATACGCAGTGTAGCACCAATGGACTCTGATATAAAGTCTGCAAAGTGCAGGGACTTGGAAGCATCTTGCCTATCCTGCAAAGTGTGGAAGGAGGGGCAGAGGGAGCCTGTGGCTGCAGGGCCTGGAGCAGTGCCTGATTCCCTCATGCTAGTTCCGGGGCTGCCGGGTATAAAGAGCTTTATGCAATGTCTGGAGGGTGGGAGTTTATAGAAAACGCGATGTCTCAACAGGCGAACACGCCTTTCTTCTGCAACTAGCGGGATAAGAAAAAGACACCAGGCTGCTTGTGCTGCTGCTGTGCAGATCAGCACCCCGGAGTCGAGGAGCCAGCTTCTGAGGGAGCTGGAGCATCCCAGCCCAGATGGGACCTCACCATCGGATGGATGGAAGAGCAGCAACTGCTTGCAAACTCCTCATATTATTCACTGCATGCATAATGCAGGGCAGTTGCCAAGGTAAGCGCTATGCTCCAGCGTCTCCGGAATGGGACTTGCACCCCAAGGAGCACATCCTTGTCCTGGGGACTTACATGAGAAAAAGACCAAAGTGCCTGGAAGTAGAGGGTTAACAGGAGCGGATTCAAGGAGTTCTTTCTAATAGCTAGGGGAGACATTTGGCTCTTTCCAGGAGTTATTTGATGGAGTTGATTTCTGTTGTGGAAAGGAAGTAGTGCCTTAAAAAACACTACAAACACCACCGGCTCTCTAGCTTCACTTCATCTTGGTTTTAAATTATCCCAGGATGTTTTTTCTGATTGTTTTTCTGGTTTGTACAAACTTTTTTTCTGGTTGTAGAAGACAGCAACACACAAATGTTGCTAAATTTGGAGGGACAGCTCAGACTTTGCAACTCCACGGTCTAAACTCACAGTTTTACAGAGATGCAAGTGGGCAGCTTTTCCTGTAGCGAGTACTGCTTTACTGGCTGTGGATAAGGTTTTAAAAAAAAAAAAAAGTCACCTCAGAGTTTTTGCATTTTTTCCTTGTGATCTTTGTGCCCTTCTTGCTACTGAAGTCTGGGTGGTTTTGCAGAGCAGAGTTCACCTGCATTCCAGGAGCAGGTTTGGTGACCACTAAAATTGTGGCTAGGGTTGTTCTTGCTGAGAAGCGCACAGGCTGTGGCACTTGCACGTATACAGGTTGTGCCTGTGGGGGGGCGTTATGTGTGGACAGGCTTGCGTACCTTATGCAGTCATTTACAGAAGACTATAAGAAAGAAACAGATGCTTAGTCTGGAGCACAATAAGCTCCCCTCAGTCGGTCTCAGACGCAGATTTGAAGTTGAGAGAGGGAGAACTTTTTCTCTGGGCTTTGCTGTTGCTAGGCGACATCTGGGAGCATGTGACGGGCAGAGCAGGCTGAGTGCCGCTCCTCTGGTACTAATCTGGCTGCGAGGGATGGAGTAGCTGTGTCTCCAGTCCTCTCCCCAGCCTGTGGCAGCAGCCCATCTCTTCCTGTCTCCCCCTCTTCGCGCAGTTTAATTGCCCTGCAGTGAAAATGAAGCCTGTCTTCTTGGAGCAAGAGTGGCTGAGGTGCATTTCCTTGGCCCCATGTACTGACCCAGCAGTCTTGCTGGTTGTGTGTGTGTCTGTGTATTAAGCGTGCGTTCAAATTGTTAATCTGCTTTCTTTGCTCAACTCTTAGTTTAAGCTCCTTAGACAGAATCAAGTAAGTAATTATACAGCAACTGTTGCTAGCAGCTCCCACTTACGAGCAGGGAAATAGGAGATAGCTAATGTGCAGCAGGAGACCCGTAAAAGCTGTAGCCAAGGAGGTCACACTGGGCAGAGTTAATCCTATGCACTATTATTTTACATTGGATAGAATGGAAGCTGCAGTGCTGATCTAAAAATTTATTCCTTTGCTCTACAGCCACTTTTGACTGTTCAGGACATGCCTGGTAAATGACATGACAGGATAAGTAGGGGGAAGCTTTGAACTAGCATCCATAGGCAGTGGAAGTACAGAAGTTTTTTACTTTGATGGTCACTCCCTTGCCCCCTTCAGAGTAGAATAACTGCAAATGAAACAGTATAGTTTTAGTAACGGGTAACTGATACTACTAAAATCTCTGGATAGCAATCTTGGCCACACTGTGATTATTATTGCAAAATATTTGGTATCCTTAAGTTCCAGCTCCTGGAATGTTGAGATCATGTCACTCTCATTTAAAAAAAAAAAAAACATTAAGAGACTCATGAAAGCAATACCAACGCTCAGAAGGAAAATGGTGACAACCATATTATCTTGCCTAATCCTCAGTATTTTCAAAGGTGCTTCCATAATGTTTTTGAAGGTTTTTGTTGGCAATATCTGAGTGTTCCCAGTATAAGCTGGATGTTTCTAGAAGTAGTTTCACCTGAACACTTGCTCAAATGATAGTATCATGAGTCTTCCTTGATTTATCTAATTCTGGATTTACTGGAATTAAACATACCACTTATAAACTGAATAAAAATACTGCCTCTTGTAATTGCCAGTAGTACAGGGCCTGGTTCTGCAACCTTTACTCTATAATCCTTGTTGCCTGTGGGGTAACTGTTGTCAGGAAAAATTGCAGCTGGAATCTAAAAAAATACCTGAGTAAAGGTAGTGTCAAGAAGGAGCATCACGGGACTAACGTTAATGTTTGTTTTGAGGAATCTCAAAGTGCTTCATGCTCATAGTCATAAACTAGAGACACTGGATGGATGTTGTACTCTCAGCAGTTTTGCAGAGGGCAAATGAGAGCACTAGGGCAACTTTGCATTTGAACAATGAGTTCTTTAATGTTACTGCAAAGCACACCAGATCTACATACTCATGCAATATTCCACGTAGTATCTGTTATTGGGCTCACCTTATCTAACATGGAAGGCCTGCTGTACTTTTTTTGATGAGGATTTAGTACCTGAGTGTTGGAATTTTTTTCTGTTCTTAATGGTTCAGCATCAGAGGAACTGTTAGTTTAGTTTCATTATAAAATCATTTGTATATATAAAATAATCTATAAATCACTTATAGAAACCTGCTTTTCTTTATAAAAAAGAACCCTTCTTTCTAGACACAAAGTATTAAGAACATTCTTCACAAATCTACTGTAGTTAATATTTCTGTAACCTATATATTTCAGATAACTTAAATTTCCTTTGTTGCTTTTTGGTGTCCCTTAGGTCCTGATGACCTACTTTCAACAGAGATGCTGTAAATCTTCCAGAAAATAAATGTATTAGTATTACAATAATATGAATTATTTAATAAATGACATTGGTATTGATTTTTGTCACCAATTCTGTTAAATTAGTGCAAGTTACAAAACAATGCCAGTATCATCTTTTTTCAGACTTGCATGTACTTACACTGAAATTCTGGCTTTGCTGCAATTTATTGCAAAGTACCAAATCGCTTACGTAAAGTCTGGGATTTCACTGTATTGTGTAGTTTACAATGTTTAAATTGCTGTTTACCTCCCCCATCTTTCTAGTGGATACTTCTGAGGATCTTTTTATTTCTTTAGCTTCATGTATGGAATCAAAGATGACAGATTCACATTTCTGTGAATTATGAGATCAATGATTGCTTAGCCAGGCTGTATATTTTCCTTGCTGATAATCATAATATTCACGTAAACTTTTGAATTCTGGGAAATGCAGCTGGAAATGCAAGCACCTCCATTAATGGTCTTTCTCTCTACATATATGCTAATTTTTTTAATTTTTGGATTCTATGTTGAATTAAGAGGCCGAAAGATCACAGCTAGGTTGACTTCTAGTATTTATTTTTTCCCCTTCTTTTCAATAACTCATGGTTTACTGACTCTTTTTTTTAAGGTTTCTGTGTTGATCTCATGATCAGAAGACTTTTAATTTAAATTTTTTTTTTTTTTTTTTTAGGAAAACTGATTATCTATTCTGTATACATCTTGGCAAAACATGATTTGTGCAGAAACTTTGCTGTAACACAAAAGTTAGTGCATCAAATTTGATTTACATCCTAAATCTCTGCAATGATAAATCATCGGCTTAAATGTGTCCCAGGCCAATGAGATTAAAATTTGTTACCATTATAAGGTCTTTATTAGTCTGAGAATGAAGGCTATTCTAAGAATGAATCTATATAGTGTGATATCTCAGAAATCACAGTGAACATTTGCATGAAGTGAGGCCAGTAATGAATAGGTACGATAAGACCAAGAAGAGAAGAGCTACAGCAGCTCTTTCCAGAATGTCACAGAGAAACATGCTTTTCCATCAAGCATTGTAATAGTTCAATCTCCAAATTAATAATTCAGTGTTTTTTAGACATTGCCTTCACTCAAATCTATTTAATCTGTCTATAGGATGATGTATAGTGACGTTGCTGTAGGCGACAGGGCAGAGTCAGTATTCATACTCCCTTGTACAGCACTATGCACGTTTAAATGACAGAGAAGCCTGTCTGTAAGATTACGCTCCTGCCAAGACCTAATGTTTGAAGACCTTGAGTGAGACTTTCCTTGGGGACTGAGGATTTGGGAGTAATGAGAAGGGAGAAAGGATGGCAAAGGAAATGAATACACGGATGCAATCCTGACATACAATTTAATAGGTGTTGTGCATGACCTATGGGCTGCAGTGTTCATAATCCTGCACTAGTATGGTTTTCTTGGTTTCTCTTGGGTATGTACTCGCACAAAATCAAGAGCAAAAATCCCACTGAGTGTCCATCTACCTGGCTCTGAACTAGTTTATTTCCTGAGGGCTGACAATTTAGAAGTACCTATCAGTGAAACACATTATAATCTTCTTACATTTTAATTAATGAGTGGTATTTCTGTGCACTGACAGTAATTTTTTTTGTATGATTCTTTTTAATGAGTAGCCCTGTTTTAGTACATCTCTTGAATTTTCTTAATAATTTACTCTTTTTCTGTATTCTGTTCAGCAAAGCATATCAGGAATTTGCAAAGTAATCAGCTAAAGCAAAGAATGGGACAGACCCCAGAATTTTAGTTAAAAATTGAAAGCAATAATTGGATGACACCTGGTTAGATTTAGGTTCTACGCCAAATGCTATAATTACAGTAAATAATTAAGCTACAGGAGTCAAGACTAATAGAGACAGAGCATCTAAGGAGATTTCAACTAAGATAAATGCGTCATGTATGCAGTGCTTCTATTTCCCTGTAAGACAACCCAAAACCTTCTTTCATATATTGAGCTGATTGGAAATTTGAGCAATGAAATCCTACTTTAATCTGGATTTACTTTCCATGTGTTTTGCAGGAAATGACCAAAGATTCATTTGGGGGCAAGGTAGAATGCAATTTCATTAAAGCCTTTTAATTCTTTTCCTTTTCGGCTTCCTGGATTGACATGAAATCATTCACACTGTTTGGGGCCTTTCCCCCTCCATATGCCTTCTTGCACTGTTAGATTATTGCCAGATCAAAGCCCAATGGTGTTTTTTTTAACTTCTCATTATTTAGCACCGAACGT